GTCCAGTCAGTGTGTCTGTATGAACCCCTCTCTCTCTCAGTGCAGTGTTCATGTACTGGAGTGTCCAGTCAGTGTGTCTGTATGAACCCCTCTCTCCCTGTTCCAGGCCTGGTGGTTTACAGACAGCATGAGTACAGATATTTGGCATCGATGTATTCTGGTCAATGGAGCCTGTAACTACACTGACTTCCCTTCAACCTACCCTCAAGGTAAGAACTTCTGTCCTCACAGCTGTGAGCTGCATCAGGGAGCTGTTCTGGCTGGAGGTCGCGGTGCTGTGTGCAGTGTGTAGTGTTCAGTGTGTGTGTAGTGTTCAGTGTGAGTGTGCGTGCTGTGTGCAGTGTGCAGTGTTCAGTGTGTGTGTAGTGTTCAGTGTGTGTGTGCGCGCTGTGTGCAGTGTGAAGTTTGCAGTGTGTGCAGTGTGAATGTTGCCTGTCCGTGGTACAGCAACACTCTGCCTGTTTGCCCTGCCCTGCAGTCAGCAGTTGAAAACAAGCCAGACTGGAAAGTCCAGTATCAGCCTGCATAGCGCCCCCTCCTGGAGACCAAGCCCTGCTGAGGAGAGCCAACCTCGGTCAGACCGACCCAGCAGGGGGCACTGTGGAGTCCTCTCCTGCCCCATACAGTCATGTGTACCACCCCATTAAAGGAACACCACAGCGCCCCCGTGTGGCTGCAGGCGTGTGTGTGAAGCCCTCTCTCTGTCTCTCTCTAGAGTACCTCCAGGCCGTGCAGGCGAGCTCAGTGCTGGCCTGTATCTTTGCCATCCTGGGGCTGTTTGTGTTCGTGGCTCAGCTGTTCACCCTGGTGAAGGGGCAGAGATTCACCTTCTCTGGCATCTTCCAGCTCATCGCCTGTGAGTACTGTCCCTCAGGACACGCGCGCACACGCACACACACACACTGACACTGAGGCCCATGCACGCACACAAGGTCTCGCACTTGCACTGATGCTGACTGAGTGTGGATTAACCCCTCTGTCTCTCTCTCTCCCGCAGGCCTGTGTGTGGATTAACCCCTCTGTCTCTCTCTCTCCCGCAGGCCTGTGTGTGGATT